CTTGTAATTTGTCCGCTACAATAAAAAATATTTAATTCACCTGCTGTCATAATTGCGGTTCATTTGAAAGAGATCTGAGTATTGTTCTAAAAATCGACCGCTGCGCGTGATTGAGAAACATTCCACGGTATTATTGAGAGAAATAGAACCACTATTAATATATATTTGGATTGTATATCCTCGGCTTGATCCACCATTGTCTGTTCCGTTATCAAAGTTTACAGATAAAACACTACATTCTTTTTTTTGAAGTGTCTGTATTGTATGGTATATACATACCTGTGCATAGTTTTGGAATAGCTCAGCAGATAATCATTTCATTAATTGTAAACCTAATGAGGGTGTCTAATTGTTGGCCGATGAACCACGGCATGACCGGCTAATCGTAACAAAGCTCACACAATTGTAGATCTGAAAAGGCAATACACAACTCCCACTCACGACTATAGCCCCTGCTGATTGAGGTTACATGCCGATCATATAGACCTGGTGTAATGGACCGAGTCGTACTTCTGGATTAAATGACTTCAAACCAGGTTTGTGTGTAATGCCTTTGTTGGTACCGTGAGTGCAGTATTAAGCCAAGACAGACTCTAGTGGCAGGTTTGTTCTGCGCCATTGATCTCTGATATTGTGGCCTTGGTATACTTCCAAAGCTATGCCGTTAGTGCCTGTGGAATTGTCCCTTGGGTACGGATCTTTCAGGTAGTCTTTCCTACCTGAATGGAATCCCTGGGGTATTGTGCCCTCCCGATAACATTTTCAATGTGGAAAGTGTTTCTTTATCATCAATAGTAACTCCCACCCTGGTCAGTCAAAGGTAAGTCGTATCAAAGGTCTTGAAAAAATAAGATAAATTTATTTAATGTGTATGGAATATTTTGGAAACTTTCCATACCTATTTTTATTTTATTTTTCAATATTTTACCTAAATATTTCATAAAATATGATAATAAAGACATTAATTTAAACAAAATTATTGAAATAGTGTCCTAACAGAACTTATTATTTTTTCTCCTATTGTTACTTGCATTAGCAAATATCCAAATGTCACTGTTAATGGACAAGAAATGGAAGCATGACTTAACATCAAAAGCAATTTTAGAAACTTACATAATTCCAATTAGATTTAATTTTACTAGATGAAAGGAGAAAAGATATCTGTTGTTGTAATTCTCGACAAATCAGACTCTAACAGTCTGATCGGCTTTTGCAGTTACCAAGGTGATCTGTACATAGGTATCATTGTACCTACTTTCTTGTGGTTTGGGAGATTTTAATGGCCTGGTAGCATAAACAGACTTGACTACAAAGCTCCAGATTACAGTGAACTATCTGGAATATTTTTGAAGGATTTTTCCATAGATTTGCTATGTATAGCTCTTTGTTAGTACTATAAACTATTTCTCACAGTCTGAATCTGGGCCAAGTTGAACATTGGAAATTTCTCTATCTATTCTGGTATAGTATTGTTCCAGAAATAAAGAGGCTGTGAGTAGGGTTCTATGGTTAAAATTTTACTAACAGTATCATAAGATTTTTCATCCAGTGACTTTAATACTGATTAAAAAATGTCTTGGTACATGTTTTGGATAAAGAGGAAGAAGTAGAGAACTTCATATTTGAGAAACAAATAACAGACTATTTGTCAACACTTGCAAGATTGTGTGAAAGGCAAAAAATAAATAGCACCTTCCAATACACAATTAGAGTTAGATAAAGTAGAGCCAAAATATGAATTAAACTGCATCATACAGCTGTTTCGTTATTTTACAACTTGTAAGTGATGCAGATGGCCTAAAAATCCAAACTGATGAAATCTTGATGAGGCGGTGCGCTAGCCCTATAATTCAATAAATCTTGCAATTTTCACATATGTGGTAATTTCAGAAGAATAAATCTATGGGCATTGGGAACTCTGTGCAGATATATAGGGGTAGGTGTCACACAGATGTATGGGGATGGGGAATTAGTACAGATATATAGGGGTAACTGTCACACAGATGTATGGGGATTGGGAATTAGTACAGATATATAGGGGTAACTGTCACACAGATGTATGGGGATTGGGAATTAGTACAGATATATAGGGGTAACTGTCACACAGATGTATGGGGATTGGGAATTAGTACAGATATATAGGGGTAGGTGTCACACAGATGTATGGGGATTGGGAATTAGTACAGATATATAGGGGTAGGTGTCACACAGATGTATGGGGATTGGGAACTCTACAGATATATAGGGGTAGGTGTCACACAGATGTATGGGGATTGGGAATTAGTACAGATATATAGGGGTAGGTGTCACACAGATGTATGGGGATTGGGAATTAGTACAGATATATAGGGGTAGGTGTCACACAGATGTATGGGGATTGGGAATTAGTACAGATATATAGGGGTAGGTGTCACACAGATGTATGGGGATTGGGAACTCTACAGATATATAGGGGTAGGTGTCACACAGATGTATGGGGTTTGGGAATTAGTACAGATATATAGGGGTAGGTGTCACACAGATGTATGGGGATTGGGAATTAGTACAGATATATAGGGGTAGGTGTCACACAGATGTATGGGGATTGGGAATTAGTACAGATATATAAGGGTAGGTGTCACACAGATGTATGGGGATTGAGAATTAGTACAGATATATAGGGGTAGGTGTCACACAGATGTATGGGGATTGGGAACTAGTACAGATATAAAGGGGTAGGTGTCACACAGATGTATGGGGATTGGGAATTAGTACAGATATATAGAGGTAGGTGTCACACAGATGTATGGGGATTGGGAACTAGTACAGATATATAGGGGTAGGTGTTATACAGGAGAAGATACTGTTATTTGGAGTGAGGGATTATGAGATATGGTCTGTTATGTCAGGATCATTGTTTATTTTGTGTGTTGACAATCAGTTGGAGGATTCATGATATTTTTTATGTATACTTCATAACAGGTGAAAAAGTTTTTCAATTTCTGACAACAGTTCATAAGAGCTATATATGTGTGTATGATAAAAGATAAACTGTCCCATGTTATATACCAACAGCTATCATATTTCCCATTGTCATATCTGTCACAGTGATTAAGGTCACATGAAGGATGGATAATTTTCACGATCAGATGTCTCTAGTGTTCTTTTTCTCTTCCATTCCTCCATATCTGATTTAACCACTAATATGAGATTTAATAATTGTCATGTTTTCTGTAAATTGCATGGTGCTATTGTAAATAAAAGAGATACAGACCAAGTTTTAAATGAATTTTATACATGTGTGATATTCCCAGGTAAAAATCTGAAGCTTTAAGAAAAACAATAGACTATGTAAAGTGTTAGAGTATAGGAACTTTAGAAACCAGAAGTACAGTCAGTCAGTCCAGATTGATCTGACCTATTTACCTTTCTTTATCATATACCTGGAGCAGAATACTGACCAATCATTCTAATAAAATGGTCACCAGTGATAAACAACAGGTGACCATACCTAAGAATTCCAATCAATTGCCCAACTGTGTTATTCCAAGTAAAGTTCTGTTTAATGTCATTCTTATTGAACTATCTTCTCTGTAAAATTGAACCTGTGTAAACTGAACCTGTGTAAACTGAACCTGTGGAAATTGAACCTATGTAAATTGAACCTGTGTAAACTGAACCTGTGTAAATTGAACCTGTGTAAACTGAACCTGTGTAAATTGAACCTGTGTAAACTGAACCTGTGTAAATTGAACCTGTGTAAACTGAACCAGTGGAAATTGAACTTATGTAAACTGAACCTGTGTAAACTGAACCTGTGTAAATTGAACATGTATAAACTGAACATGTATAAACTGAACCTGTGTAAATTGAACATGTATAAACTGAACCTGTGTAAATTGAACATGTATAAACTGAACCTGTGTAAACTGAACCTGTGTAAACTGAACTTGAATAAATCGAACCTGTGTAAATTGAACATGTATAAACTGAACCTGTGTAAACTGAACCTGTGTAAACTGAACTTGTATAAATCAAACCTGTGTAAATTGAACATGTATAAACTGAACCTGTGTAAACTGAACCTGTGTAAACGGAACCTGTGTAAATTGAACATGTATAAACTGAACCTGTGTAAATTGAACATGTATAAACTGAACCTGTGTAAACTGAACCTGTATAAATCGAACCTGTGTAAATTGAACCTGTGTAAATTGAACCTGTATAAACTGAACCTGTGTAAACGGAACTTGTATAATGAAGAATGCCTTGTAAACTCGACCCTTAGTCAGATACTGCAGGGTATGTTTGTGTATAATGTAGAATTCCTTGCAGACTGGTTTGCTTAAGTCAGATACCTTAGGGTATGCTTGTGAATCTGTGTAATTAGGATTTCCTTGTTAAACAGATCTATAGAAGGATAAGGCAGCTTATGTTTGTGAACCTGTATAATCATAATTTCAGTAAAGAAAAAACTTTAAATCAGATATTTTTGGTGGTGTCTTAATTTCCTGATTTTTCAAAATAAAGAATTATGATATTTTGGAAATTTGATGCACGTATTAATAGTGTTCAGGAAATTCAATAATACAAAAAAATTGTGTCAAATTTGTTGGTTCGTAGACAAAAGAATTGGCTGATAAATATGTTCTCAAAAAATCAACAAAAACTCGAAATCCCACTAAATTGATTAATTCTACAGTATATGTTTTCACAAACTGAATCATCATTTATGTACTTCTTTATCTGTAAACCTGTGTTTTATAGGACCTATGCTTATTGTTAATGATTTTGGTAGGTTTCAATGATTGAAATGAAACCTCACTGAGAAAGTTTGGAAGTTGATTCTTTTTTGGAACATTTTTTTTTTACAGAAGCTGATAAATAATTGTTTTGAGGGTGAATTTTTTTCTCTCAGATCCATTTCTGAGAGTGTTCATTCTTTAGTGATGTCGAGTGTTGTATTGTTACAATTATTGGTGGAAAGTCTGTGATGCCATAGGTGTTTTTCTCTATTACAGAACTGACTGATTAACGATGGAAAGGCTGGAAAAGTTTCAGATAATTTTCAACAATCCCACAGCCACCTATTCGGCAGGAGACACAGTGTATGGGTATGGATGGGTGGTTGTTAAAGACCCAGTATTCGTAGAGAGTAAGTATTGAACTATTTTCATGGTCCATTTTCTTTCATGGATTCAAATAAACTTAATACTTAGCCACAAGTCATGTTGAACAGAGGTCAGTGTCTCAGATCTTTAACTAAAAACCAAAGCTATTATAAAATCTGTCCTGCATTAAACCCATGCCTGGTAATTTTGTCTTTTCATAATGCAGAGTTATCTGCCCTTTTATGCAGGAATCAGTTGAAGAAAGTGATGTAATCTTCTCCTGCAAACTAATGACGTAACGTTCAGTACCTTCTCACAAGAGCTGATAACTTGACATTATGAAGTGAAAAAATAATTCCAATCAAATTTACTCCAATTATAGTCAAATTACAAATGAAATATGTATCATTGTTCAGTAATAAGCCCACCCAGTGACATGGAATCAGAATATAAGTGTCGGCCTTGTTAAATCTATAATCAATTTATCATAACCGAAAACTAAGTCAGAGAAACATACAAAATTCAACGTGGACACCTCTAGCAATTTATTTATTCATATCACAAAATTTATTGTCAAAAATTCTAATAATTATTATGTCTGAATTCACTTAACATCAGACTGTGTACATGTTACATTGCAGTCATTGAAGAGTTCCAAATCTTGATGTTTTTATCTGCTGGTCAATTTGTCAGAATGTTAATGTGACAGCTGAATATCTTGTTTTGTTTACTGAAAAAAATCATCTTTTCCTGAGATGACGAAAACAGGTGGAGACGTTCTGTTTAGTCTCTGGTTGGCATTACAGTTGCAATATACTGATAACACCGTCAGCCGATTGGGGTGAAAAGATCTGCTTTATCGTGATTTAACAGTACAAGCGTATATGATAGGAATGTGGGTTTTTATTTTTTAGAAAACATGTAACAAATTAACTCATATGCTAGAAAGAATTAATGAAAATCTAAACTTCAATGATAAGACAACCTAGAAAAGTATGTTTTTACTGATATTTTATCAAGTAATTATAATTCGTCCATTTTGGGTAATGCTTTATTTTGTGTAGTTCTTTTTCTCTCAAAACATCAGTATGAAAAGGAAAAAAGTTTCTTTGATGAAAACATCTATCAAAGTTGGAAGTTCTATATTGATATGGGAAACATTTTTAGAGGAATTCGTGCTTGGAAAAGTACCTACTTTGTCAGATAAGCATTTGTATTAGAGAATTCTGTAGATAAAAAAACTTTCTTAAAATCGTTTATAGATGGAATAGATTAAAGGAACATTTTGATATATAAGAAATTTTTTTTATTTCTATGGTCTTATATATACTTTGAACAGCTACCTGCAAAGTCACTGTCAAGAGATTAGATTTGTTTTTATCTGTCTCTGTTTTTAGTTCTGGAATATGTATTTGAGATTTTTTAGAAATTAATTTTTATTTTTAAGAAACGTTTTCAGTCAGTCCATTTTAACTAAATTTTTGTTACATATACATTTATTTACATGTTTGTTTTTGTTTGTTTTTTCCCTTTTTTGGAATTTTGGGAATTCAGCAGGGGGAAAAAATTCCAAAAAAATAGAAACAAAAACCAGTAAATGATAGAAAAATCCTCAAGATCTGTTAGTGATGGAAAATATCTGAATGTAGGAATCGGTTCACCCAGCAAAGCCAAAGCCAACAGCTAGTTTGGAAAAGTACCTACTACCCTAAAAACTATTGTACTGGTAGTAAACATCTCCAACTCAAATATTCATATCTGATAACATTATAGGTAGAATTCACTGCTATCTGCAGCTGGGGTTGTATTTTAATGAGATTTAAAGCAATGTTTTACGACTCTTAAACAGGACAGTTCACTGAAAAATGTATACAAAAATACAATAATCGGATACATGCAAGTACAGAAGGTACCATATGGCACACATCCCTGGATAACTCCAAAATTTTAAGAATTTTCCAAAACTTGACATAAATCAAATACTCTTCAAGAGTTTCAAAGATATTTACTGGTTGGCTAAATCTAGTTCATAAAAATGTTTTGGCTTGAAAGGTACATGGCCTACAAGTTTAAAAAAAAAAAATCTTCTTTGAAAAAATGCAGGCAGATCAATCTCACTGTAGTTAGTTTTCTTATCAACAAGAGATTGCTTGGTTGCCAGAGATTTTGATACTTAATAGAAACGGTGAAAAAATGTAGATATATACTTAAAGTAGTTTATAAAAGCTGACATTGATGTGAAAACATGGATTCAAGGCTATTAAATAAAATAAAAAAAAAATAAAAAAAAAGGAAGTAGATAGAAATACAGGTTTTTTTTATTTGTGATCCTGTTTAATTTACATGTTGCTAGTCCCATTATACAAGTTGCCGGTCATCGAAACAAGTGGTCGTGTTATTGGATTGAAGTTTTGGTACTTTTGGTTTTAAGGTTATGACATTGTCCTTCATTTGAGATTTTCACCTCTCTAGGTGCACTAAAATGTCAAACGTATTGGGATTCTAAAGTTATAGTACAATACAGCCAAAGTCTACACTGCTGGGCTCTTTATAAAAAGGTACAGTAAAACTTGTCTACAGAGACCAAAAAAATTCGAATTAACCTTTATAAGTATGTACCAGCCCTCATGTAGAATTGATATTTCTATGATTTGTGTTAAAATTGCAACCTGAAATATATGGCTTTAAAGACAGGTTTTATCTTACACAGGTGGCCTTTATATACAGGCATCTGTTGTATACAGATGACCTTTATAGACAGGTATGTGTTATATACATGTGGCCTTTATATACAGGTATCTGTTGTATACAGATGACCTTTATAAACAGGTACAGGTAATATACATGTGGCCTTTGTAGACAGGTATGTGTTATATACAGATGGCCTTTATAAACAGGTACAGGTAATATACATGTGGCCTTTATAGACAGCTTTGTATGTGTTATATACAGATGGCCTTTATAAACAGGTACTGGTTATTTGTGATATACACTACAGCAGTGTGTTTGTCCTTCAGTACACTACAGCAGTGTGTTTGTCCTTCAGTACACTACAGCAGTGTGTTTGTTCTTCAGTACACTACAGCAGTGTGTTTATCCTTCAGTACACTACAGCAGTGTGTTTGTCCTTCAGTACACTACAACAGTGTGTTTGTCCTTCAGTACACTACAGCAGTGTGTTTGTTCTTCAGTACACTACAGCAGTGTGTTTATCCTTCAGTACACTACAGCAGTGTGTTTGTCCTTCAGTACACTACAACAGTGTGTTTGTCCTTCAGTACACTACAGCAGTGTGTTTATCCTTCAGTACACTACAGCAGTGTGTTTGTCCTTCAGTACACTACAGCAGTGTGTTTGTCCTTCAGTACACTACAGCAGTGTGTTTGTCCTTCAGTACACTACAGCAGTGTGTTTGTCCTTCAGTACACTACAACAGTGTGTTTATCCTTCAGTACACTACAACAGTGTGTTTATCCTTCAGTACACTACAGCAGTGTGTTTGTCCTTCAGTACACTACAACAGTGTGTTTGTCCTTCAGTACACTACAGCAGTGTGTTTGTCCTTCAGTACACTACAGCAGTGTGTTTATCCTTCAGTACACTACAGCAGTGTGTTTGTCCTTCAGTACACTACAGCAGTATGTTGACAGTTATAGTACAGTTGTGGTTTTGATTTTGTTATAAAGTTTTAAAGTTGTTTAAAGTTTCTTCATTCGAAGTGTCTTCCCAATTACGTTTGTTGTGAACTACTGACTTACACATCTGATTAACTGGTCCAATTTCAATTTGAGAAAAAAGAGTTTTCTACTGTTTTTTATAAAAATTTAATTGGTACAAGACAAATAAAGTCATTTTTATCTAATCTATAAATAAAATGTGTGTGGAAGTCAAAACTGAAAATCCCAGAAATGTTTGGATGTTTATATCTAAGCGTTGTTATTTATACCAGGTCAAGATCTGCTGGCGATGTTGATTTTCATTTGCCCTTCAAAACGTCAACATTGAGGAATTGATATTTTAATGAAGATGTAGCCTTGAGAAGTGAGTTATGTTCACTTTCAAAATTAAGTGGTTAAAACGGTTTGTGAAGAGGACAATAATTGAGATGGAGTTACAAACTTCCTCTGATGTATATAGTTGGTTCGCTTTCTAAGCAGTAACTGCTAATGGTGAAGCAGATTGTATACTTAACCATTCATGTATCTATTAGGGTTATCCTCAGCAAATCTACAAGTTTTCTTTTTATTGTTTGTTTGTTTTTTCTTTTCTCCAACTTGAAATCGAACTTACCTGTAATTGTAAAGAAATGAAATAATGATCTTTGTTTTTCTTTCATTAATTAATCTTTCATATCTTTTTGTGAGAATATTTCAACTGAATCAAAAACGTTTTTATTGATAGTTTATGTAGGGGGTCAGTTAATACAGCCAGTCAGTATTAACAGGTTGTCAGGTCACAAAGGTGGTCATTATATACAGGTTGTCATTATATACAGGTTGTCAGGTCACAAAGATGGTCAGTATATACAGCCAGTCAGTATTAACAGGTTGTCTGGTCACAAAGGTGGTCAGTATATACAGGTTGTCAGTATATATAGGTTGTCAGGTCAAAAAGGTGGTCAGTATATACAGGTGGTCAGTATATACAGGTTGTCAGTATATACCCATTGTCAGGTCACAAAGGTGGTCAGTGTATACAGGTGGTCAATATATACAGGCATTCAGTATATACAGGTGATCAGTATATACAGGTGGTCAGTATATACATGTTGTCAGGTCACAAAGGTGGTCAGTATATACAGGTTGTCAGTAGATACAGGTTGTCAGTATATACAGGTGGTCAGTATATACAGGTTGTCATTATATAAAAGTTGTCAGGTCACAAAGGTGGTCAGTATATACAGGTGATCAGTATATACAGGTGGTCAGTATATACAGGTTGTCAGTATATACATGTTGTCAGGTCACAAAGGTGGTCAGTATATACAGGTTGTCAGTAGTTACAGGTTGTCAGTATATACAGGTAGTCAGTATATACAGGTTGT